TATGTGAGAATGCATCAAGCAACAGTACGAACTATTTAACAAGATGCAGGCTAAATATAGGAAAAAAGCATCAACCTTGTGCAGTTCGAAATTCACCTCTGGGAATAAAAGTAATACAATGCTTGAGATGAAGTGACTTTTAGCAGTGCTGATGGAAGACTGCCATCATAAACACATTCAACGCAGCAGTGCCATAATTTAAACTAAAACTTTTTTCGAAGAAATGAACTAAAGCGGGAATCAACTGGCGTTGGTTGGTTTGACCATCTCGAAAATCGAACACAATTGTGTAATGCTAAAAGTAACTTTTTGTTTTTATCACTTTTTAGTTTCCTTAGCTATTAAGTTACATTAAGGAGCTGAGAAATCTTGACTCAAAGCTATTATTACTCATAGTCCAATTTTCACATAATCATATGAGAAGGCTTCACTTTTTCCGTTGCATTTTGCATAGCCCTCCTTGCCGAAATGAATTCTCCTTCAGGCTGGAAGAAACTGTCGACCTCGCCCAAGCCATTAGGTCAGAGAGCAAAAATGATTATCACCGCATATTTTGCGGTGGGAGTGTCAGAGAAGAAAACTTGTATTTGCTATTACAATCAACAGCACTACTTATATTCCTATTGAGTAGGCTTGCCTTGACATCCGCGCCTGCTCCGCAACTCACCGGTGCCCGTGGCAGTGTGTTGGGTCGGTAATATGTCGAACTTAAATATGGTGCATTAACCGACTTCGATTCCCGTTGGGGATGCTGATGAGATCTAGGCGAGTTCGAGACCACAGTCCACACAGGATGGGATATCTTTTGGAAAGCAGGACAATGGGAACTTCAGTGTTAACGTGAAGCCTGGCCATGTGAGTGTGGGAAAATGCAACCATCAGTCTTTCGTCACCATGCGCTAAATAGGTTGGTTACGGCCCCTAGTCAATTCAATTTGAGCGTGAGGTCGGCTCATCTAATTGTGGAAAATGCCACCGACGAACCTTAATATGAGGCGTATTGCAATTAAGGCAAAGTTGGGATCCAGGAATGCACAGCTACTTGCCCAGATTTCGGTCAACCGATATACTCTTACCGAAAATCAAGACTTGCGCTCGCATTCTTCCAATCGTCGAGTTCTGGTAGACCGACTGGCACCACCATTCCCCGGTCTCATCGTGACTGACATTGGCCACAATCAGGTGGCACACGGAGGCCTTTTGCTGCGATGGATTTTCGCCCAAACGCTTGCTGCTGTTCGGGGCTTGTGAAGTCTCATGCGGCTTCCTGGAGGGACTTCCGGCAGGTCGGACTTTCACGAAGGCGTCAAGACTGTCGTTGACGGACAACACTTGGCCGGAATTCCTGTTAGGCCTGGCCTTGTTGGGGGCGCGGTGAACACCGTCCTGTGACAGTCCAGTCGCACTTTTGTTCCGGGTGATGGCTGGCAAATCGGAACTCCGCTCTTGTCGTCTAGTAGATGCTGGACGTTCGTCTCCTTTTTTGGAAACTCGTCGTTCCGGCGCGTTGCTGGCAGTGCCCGCCCCATCCTCCTGGAAAAGTATGAATCGAGGATCTTCGGTTTCGAGGGCAACACGATTCTCTAGAAATAGGCAGCTGCCTATCTCCTGCTGTGGTAGTAAACGAAGTATGGGCGCGCATTATTTATGGGACTATTGAGCATGAAATATGTAATTTTCCAAGAATCTTTAGAAAAATATAGTTACAGCGTGCAAGAAGTGAAATAATAAATTTTATGTTTGCTGTAATAATCACATTGAGTCCGAAATTTAAGAGAAAATTGTTCCGATTATTCATTTAAGTGCATCAACCTTAAGGACGTCATTGATTCCAGTCCAATGAATACAAGTCAAAGTTAGTCATTATTCTAGTTGTGCTCACACTCCATATACAACTGGATTCACACGAACATTGTGTCAGCTTAACCTGATGTGTGGTCGGCATTGCTCAATCGAAATGTTTTCTAACAGGAAAGGTCGTAAAATCTTGATGACTGGGGACAATGTTACGCTTTGTACGTTTAAATAAAGATGCGAGCACATAAGCACATACGAGCAAACAGAAGCACATGCCTCCAGATTGACATATGACATGAACTGACCAAATAACACTATACCCAACAGAAATTCATGGTAATGAGATGTAAGCTATTTAATAAGATGTATTCACCCTATTTCGTCTAAGGTGATGAAGGACTGGTGGTAGAATTTTCCCACATTGATATGAG